CCCGGAGTCTGGCAGCGTTTCTCTGCCCGCTGAGTGGTGGGTGGGTGGAGAGGCGCGTATCTGTCTCCATCTCAGCTCCTTCAGGCCTGGCTGCTTCGGCTGTGTCTCAGGGTTGGATCAAGAAACTAAAGTATCTTCAAAGTTAGTGTTTTTTTTTGTTTTGTTTGTTTTTTGTTTTTTTTAAGGTAAAAAAGCAAACAGTAAACGAGGGCTCATCTTCAAATCTCAGTCTTAAGCATCAGTCATTTTCTCCACTCCAAAAATAGGTAATACACTCCCAAGCCACCTCTGTTGGCCTTTCAAATGAGGCTTGGGTTCAACCAGGAAAAGATGCGCTGGAGAGAAGGGGCTGAGGATTTGGCACAGACTCCTTGGGCCCAAATGAGGCTGCCCATCCTCCGCGCCGCCGGGCAAGAATGCCTCCTTACAAAACAGGGCGCCCCGCCAACAGGCACGGGCTCAGGCCTGGCCGCTGGGACGAACAAACCCAAAAATGCCCGCCCCGCCCCTCCAGGGCTCTCTGCGGCGGGGGAAGAGCGCAGCCTTAGCCAGCCGAGGCTCTGCCTGCTACCCGGGAGCCGGCCCCTCGCTGCCCACTCCCCAGTGCCCAGTCCCCCAGCCCCCAGCGCGCCAGGGCCGCCCTGCTGCGGGCGGGCCTCGGGGCGCGCGGTTCCGGCGGGGGCTGGGGCTGGGGCTGCCTGGACCGCAGAGATGACAGGGCGCTGGGAGAGCTGGGCTGTGTGCCCAGGCCCAGGCCACCCACTCGCTCAGTTCCGTTCCCGGCCCTGGGAGTCGCGCCTGCTCCCAGGGCCCTGGGAAGCGGGGGACCCGCCGCCAGCCTGCGCGCAGCCAGGTGCGCCCGCCTCCTAACCCCTCTCCCGGGCCTCTCCCTGCGGGTGGGGATCCTCGAGGGGGCGGGACGGGGTCAGAATCTCCGGGCCTCGGCTGCTGCAAATTCTACAGCAATTCCCACGTCGTGGGTCGCCTCCACGGTTCCTGCGGGCTTCGGCCTCCCCACGCGGCCGGCGGCCTCGGAGCGCGGCAGACAGCGCTTCGCTGGTGACCCTTCCGGCGTGGCGCTGGGTCTCAGGCTGCCCGAACTTAACATGACAGTCCTGGGACTAGTCTTTGCGTAAAGCAAAGTGTAGGGATCTCTGCAGCGCGGAATACCGCTTGCTCATTGCGATAGAATTCCGGGTGGAAAAAAAAAAATTGATTACAAAAAACAACACCAAAAGCACCCCAAAACGCTGATTCTTTGCCTGCCACAATGTCCGAACTAATTTATTGAGAAGCATAAACCAAGATCCGATTCTGGAAATCAGATGGAGAAGGCAACTCTCATCGCACTAAATTGTTTTCAGCAATTGCCCTAAAAAAACATAACCTCGGACCCACTGATTTTGGGAGGTGAGAGGAAGAAAGTAAAGATCAACAGGAACAATTGGCATAGCCACAGTATAACTATCTTTAAAAGGAATTATGCTCGAAAGGTTAGCTGGTTTTCTTGGGGAAACAAGCCCTAAACTTCTTACTGTGAATTGTATCTAAAAATTAACATTGTAAGCACATCTCTGATGATTGAAATCATCAAACACCTCGTTGAGGTCTTATCTGTTCATTTAGCACACGAATTATTATTTCAACTTGACTTTCAACACCTAAATAAACCCATATTCCCCCATTGTCTTAAATTCAAAAGATGTCTCGTTTTTTATAGTCTGTCTTTCTGAAAGAATGCAGAGTGTACTTTTGTCTTTATTTGCTCACCAAAGAACAAGCCAGAGCGCTTTCTTATGTAGACAGGTAGCTTTTTGGAAGTGTAAAAATAGTCCTCTTCCCCTTGGGATAATTTGGGTTCCTGGTCAATGAAAATGATGAATTTCAAAAGAAAAATACTCTTTATCCTTGGTACACTTTCCCTGAAATCCTAAGGCTGAGATACAAGAAGAAAGGTGTCAGGCACCTGTTCCTTAAATAATATCTAGAATTTAACCACTAACGGGGAAAGGAAAAGTTTGATCAAGATCGGGTTGGGAATGGGAAACATTCAAAGAACCTACTGGCCTTTTAATTACATTATGATAATAAAATAAACAAATAAAAAGGAGCACATATTTCATTTATTCCGAGGCTCAGTTACAATACTTGAAGGACCTCTGATGGCATTCAAGATGCTGATGACAACGTCAAAAACAGCAAGCAGCGGCATCGTCTGTTTTATTTTTTGAATGTGTACTTAATGGGAGAAGTAACTTTTCCTTGATTCTCCACTGCTACAGAAGAAATTCTTTTTATTTATTTATTTTTTAAAAAATCATGCTTCTCTACCTGTTTTACTACCACAGAATCTTTAATAAGAGCTCTACACCCAAAGGGGTTGGCTAGGATGTTAGGAAGAGGAGGAATAGGAGGTTAAGCTTTACTTTTTACTAACTTAAAATTGTATTATCTCCTTGTAATTTTTATTGGTTTAAAATTAAATTAGCAAGAAAGGATATGAAAGCCTGTTTCTCTGCCTCCATCTCCTTTTTGGAGAGTAATAAAGAATTATATCTAACCCCAGAGCAAGGTTCTAGCGATTTCCAGGACTGGCGCTGCGCTGCTTCTACTATGTCCAACAGGGGGCGCTGGGCACGAACCTGCACGGCGGCTCACTGCCGCTTCACATCTGAGCCGGGTTCCAGCCCCGGAAGGTGAAAGCCGCTTGCCGGGTCGAGTACTGAGCTTTAGTCTCTGGGGATAAAAAGAGATTAAAGACTAAATTCTTTTTTGGGGTGTGTGTGTGGGTGGGTGGGGGTGGGGGGTGGTTATCAATTTTAACCAACTCCGAAAATGTAGAGCTTTTTATGCTTTGATGTTCTCATAAAGAAACTCCTATCGGTTGAGGAATTACACGGTTTCTGAGCCGACTCTGTAGCTACAGTGTGAGGGAAATTATTTAATTAAAAATATATTTTTTTCCATCTGTCCACATGATCAGCTTTTTAGAAGTCTTAAAAGCTGACACATATCCCTCTGGCCTGTTAACCTTGACCCAAGTTTCAAATACTTTAGCTATTTCGAAGGCCCTTCTATTAATTGGAAGGGGGTGGGGGGAAAAGACCCAAATATTGAAATCCCCCCAACAGTTACTCCTCTGCATCCTCCCCCCTTTTCTTTCTTTCTTCTTTCTTTAAATGGGAGCTTTTATGAATTGACACATTTCAAACTGTCCATTCTGCAAAGCCAGGCGTAGATGACATGAAATGGCTCTTAAAAACAAATCTGGTGTTGGACTACATAACACCCATGGATAAAATGAAATCTAAATAAAATTGTAATCCACCCACCCCCACCCCAACATAAAAAAAAACACAACAACACACCAACAACCAAAAAACCTTCACCTGTATTTAAATAGCGTGTCTTTAATTACAGCAGTTGGGAATGCATGAGGCTGAAATGAAATTAGCAGTCATTACCAGTCCTTTAACTCTGTGGTGCTTTTGATCAGCACTAAATTAGCTTTCCAGTCCTAACAAAGACTCTACAGCAAGCAGTGGGCTGTAAATAAGACAGCGCGACCTGCCCTCAACACCTTTTCTCTTGTCAATCATAGCTCTATCATTCAGCCCAAGATTAACCTTTATCTACTAAATTAAAAAAAAAGAAAGAAAGAAAGAAGAAAAAGAAAAAAGAAAAAGGAGGCGGTAAGGAAAGCCCCCTGACCACCACATGTCGCAATAACAGAGGTTCCTAAGAGCCCCCCTTTAAATTGTATTATAATGAGCCCATGTCAGAATCTGCAATTTCCAAATCACCGCTCCCCACTCTACCCCACACCCTACCCTCCTAGAAGACTCCGAATGATGTTCAGGTAGCAAAGGAATCCTATTCTCCGAGTTACTAATTGGGCATGGGCCACCTTCTTCCATAAATCAATTTACCATTAGTCTATTAGTCTAACAAAATTTTGGGAGAGAAGGGGATGTTTGGGGAGAAAACCTTGATCATTGAAAAACAGATGCATAAGTTTCTGGGATGAAAAGAATCAATTTAATCCACGAATAGTCTCTAGTGTCTAAGACTGAGGAGGGAAAAAACCATCAACATCAGCAACAACAAAAAAACCAGCTGCTTTTCCCAGTACTGAATTAAGAAAGTATTAATAAAACAGTGGTTCTAATTGCCATTAGAGGGCGCCAGAGAACAAGCCCCTATCCGCCCGCACACAACTTCCCACAGAATCCGCCCCCCCCCCCCCAACCCCTCCAGCTTCCAGCCTCCAGCTTCCCCATGCTCTGTAATTCTTTCTCTCAGGTAATATTTCCTGCTCATCCTGCCCTCTTGCATCTCTAGATGACAATGACAACCTCTCCTAAAGAACGAGGTGTCGCCACGTCCTTTTCCTTCTCTCTTTTTTTTTTCCAACTCCCCCCCACCCACCCACTACCAAAATAGGAAGATGCCAGGTGAAATAGTAGCAACCAACCCCTTAAGGACATGTATCTTTGGGCTCAAATCACTCTTTCCATTCTTTGTAATCTTGGTCCTGGAGAAGGTTCTTTGTAGGGATGAAATGCTAGAATGTAACATTCTTAAAATGGAAGCCTGAATCTTTCATTTCTGCATTTCTCTTTGGGGGCTCAGAGATTTCTTCGCGTTCGTAAAAAAAAAAAAAAAAAAAAAAAGGAAACAAGCACACCCTTGCAAGGCAGCTGGTTATGTTCAGCACTAACACTGTTAGGAGAATAAAAAATAATGCCGCTTCACGTCTGCATTTGTTAAAGAAACCAACATTAGCGTTTAATTCCAAAAACTTAATGCTCTCAGACTTAAGTCTGCCTGTGTTAAAGGACTGTCACCCAGGGTATATTTCCAGATCTCTTAAAGGTCAAAAGAAGAAGAAGAAGGGAAAAAAAAAGGAATGAGAGGGGAATAAAGTGAGTTGGGGGTGGGGTGGGCAGAGAGGAGGGAGCTAGCAGTTGAATGTCAAAGTTGGGTTGCAAACTACTTACATGTCCATGGCAGATCAGGGTGTTGTCTTGTAGCAGTTTGATTGGCAGGTAAAAAAGTGAAAGGACGTGAGGGCTCCCTCAGCCTCTTGTCAGCCCAGGCTAGATCACTTCTCACCGGACAGAGCCGTTGAAGGAGCTGGCAATTCCTTTCTCATCCTCCATCCGAGGCACCACCACCGTGAATCCATTTCAGCTTTTCTTCCCCCCAGTCTCTCCACCAGCCTCCTGCCTTCACCCGCTTCGCCTCACACCAGCCTCCAAGACCTAGCCTAGCTTTGCCACTGCAATCCCCTGCAACAAGAAAAAATCGTTTATGGCTTAAAACCCCAAATGGCTGATTTTTTAAAAGAGAGAGAGAGGGAGAGAGAGAGAGAGAGAGAGGAGTGAGAGGGTGAGGGGGAGAGAGGGGGAGCGAGAAGAATGCACCCAGAGAACAACAAAAAAGTCAGTTATCCTAACACTGCTCTATTCCCCCCCCCCCAACCGTACAGAAGAATAAAAAAAAAAGCTTTATGTTTTTTCAGTGGGTATTCAAAGATAATTTGATGCCATTGTTTCTGCTACAGATGGTTCTTTTAAATACAATAACACAGCTCTTTGTGCAGGCTACCCACAATAAAAATCGAAAGCGTTCCCCTGAATAACCATTTTGTTCTCTCTTGTATGGGGCCAACAAAAGATGCCGTGAGGTAATGGGTTCTGTTTATTGAAGCCATAGAATAGAGGTTTGATAAAGATTTTTTTTTTTTTAAAGCAGAAGACCTTGCAAGGTCGGGCTGATCTCTTCATATCTTTTTTATTAAAATATTTGTCCACTAGATCATTCCTTGGTGCAGCTGCAGGTTTTCTCCTGAATTCTTAATCAGCCCAAACATCTGTCTCTTTGAGGAGGCTTTTAAAAAAAAAATCTGCAATTGTATCGATGGTGCAGTAATCTTATCAAAAACCTGAATTTTTAGGCTTCGTGCAGGCAAAGGCAAAAGGGTTTCAATGCTCTTTGGTCCTGATGAGGTGAGGCAGAGGACTGGGGGGAGAGGAGAGGTAACAGCCCCAGGGAGAGCAACTAAGGAAACCCAGCGAGGCTTTCCTCTCCCCTCCCCTGGTGATGATGATGCACAACTGCATGAGCCAGACCCACAGATCACTGAGGACTTGAGATGTGTCTCCTGACCTCTGCAAGCGCCGACTGCCCACGGTGCCTGCGTGTTGGGCAGGAGCTAGGCGTGTGTCCATAACCTTCTCGTCTGGATGGGTCTCCAATTCCAGAAAAGCTAGGTTGGGAGCCCAGGGGGAGGAGTGGAACCAGCTAACCCTTGATCTCTAGCACCTAAAGGGTCTTCCTACTCTTGACTCTCTTGCATTACGCTGATAGCTCGTTTTGACTCCTAGCTAGTTTGGATCCATCCTGACAGTGGCCACAGCCCTCTGGTTAGAGCGCCCCACCCGCTCAGGCTTCTCCTTCCAGTCTCCTTCTTCCTCAGTTCCATGGAGAGCTTCTGCCTCCTTTCACCCAGACCCAGGCAAGGTCTGAGGTCCGTAACTTTGAGAGAGCCCCGAATCCTTAGGCGGTGAGCATGCTGCGAGGGAAGAAGAAGGTGGCTAGGGTTGTCTACGTTTCTCTAGGAATTCAGGCCAGGGCTCTCCAGGCCTCCCGTAGCCCAGAGGGACAACAATCCACTTTCATGGCTTCTGCTCTGTATGTTTTCATTGGTGGCAAGACAGCAGCCTGGGGAAGTGCCTTCAACTTTACAAAGAAGTCTCTGTCGGTTCTCTATCTCATTGGTCCCCTGCCCCATTCAGTCTACCCTCTCTTCCCACAAACCACCCGGGATCAAAAGGAAGATGAATGCTCAAATGAATATCTTGACAAAACCGATCTTCGCTTCGACTTTCCAGGTGGCACCAATGATGTTATTGGTTTACAAGTGGTCTGGAAGGCATCTAAGAAGGGATTCTTGGTGACTATTAGTTAAGACACCAATTCAAACCTTTCCTGTGAAATTTGAAAAAACAAACGCACGTACAAAACAGGTGAATGCGTTAATGTCTGATGGAAAAACATGAAAGTGGGGCAATACTAAAAAAAAAAAAAGTTATGCATATCTTATTGCTCTCTGGATCAAGGAAATGGTGCTTGTCTAAGTGTGCGTGTGTGTGTGTGTGTGGGGGGGGGGGGATGAAGAGTGTAAATCAAGGGTGACCTCTAAGAGAGCAGGCTAAGGAAGGTGCACTTGTTAACCTTGGCCTTGTAGGAAAGGAGGTGAGGGGCATTATGCAAAAGTCAATAGTAAAAAAAAGGTGTAGTGGGAGAGGCCAATGTAAGATGTTGAATCCAGTGTTTTTCTAACTTTGTTCTAAAAAAGAATCCCCTGAAATAATGGAACGCTCTCTTCCTGCTTCCCTTGTCATATATATATATATATATACATATATATATATACATATATATATATGTATATATATATATATTTCCTGAAGGGAAAACTTATAAAGGATGCCCAACCTGTTTAGAGCTATTTTCCTTTTCATGATGACCTGAAATAAGCATCTGAACTGCTGTGCTTTCTCCACTGAGGGAGGGGGCTGGGGCTGAATCTAAGTCATCAGTGAGTAAGTAGCCAGCGGTGAGCAAACCTCACCCATCTTAGCAATCAAATCTGTCCAGGCCCAGACGTAAGAAAGTTTAACATCTCTCCGTTGGCCTTACTCTCTGGTTGAAGGAGCAGAAAGAGTTTTGTAGGCAAGGGCCCAAAAGTTGTCTCAAAAGCTGTAGTGAGTTCTAGCCGATGTGGGGGAAGACTTGAGCCTTGAAGAAAAGTGGGGTGTGTTGAGGCGAAGGGCCAAAATGACAATCTGCCTTGGTAGGTGAGGGAATCAAGAATGAATCGGTTGTCTGCACCTGGAAAACCACCTTTAAAATCATCTCTCTGTGTCCAGCACGTAAACGAGCCGGCTGGTCAGTTCCTTTCTTGTTGGAGCAAACACACAACCAAAACGACCCCAAGGTTACAGAACAGGCTTTCTGAGGGGCAGGGAAAATCCGTGTCCACCTGTGTGTATGGGCTCTGATAGGAAACGTCACCAATCCAAAGTGCTCTGGGGTCCAACCTGTGCGCTCCAGTTCTCCCAGTGCGAGCCGCACTGGGAGGTGTGGGGATTCACCCCGCTGCTCCCGGACTGGGGTGTCGGTGAGGGAGTGGCCTTCAGCACGGACCACTCAAGGCCGCGGAGGGAAGGTTGGGAGGGGGGAAGGGAAAGGGAGAGAGGGAGTGAGAAAAGACTGGGGGAGGAGGAAGGGAAGGTAGAGAAGGGATCAAAACGGGGATGCAAAAGGACTAAAGGCAGAGGTGATTAGCAAGGGGCACCCCGCCCTGGTTTTACACTGGCGAGTGCTTCTAAGGCAACAACACTCTACGCACTATCAGGGTCTGGGTGTCCCAGCGAACCAAATGCCCCTACAAACCGGGAGTTCCCCCGAGGTGGCATCGTGCCCCGTTTTAGCCACCAGCTCCGGGGAAAGCTGTAGCTTCCCTCTCCTTAGGCAATCCATCATTCCCCAACGGGCCGCCCCGGCCTCCCCGCGAGGCAGTAAGTCAGCCTCTGGTGGGCCTGGCTCCCGGGGGTCTGGCCGCAGCCCCCCGGGAGGCCTGCCGGGGTCCGGGGGAAGCCTCGGGGGGTGGGACGGGGGGCGGCGGCCGAACCTCCCGCTCCCCGCCTCCCGGCTGCACAGCCCCGCTGGAGGCGCCAAGGGGAGCGGCCGCTCCGGGCCGGCGGGGGCGGCTCCCGCTGCCCGCGGGGGCGTCAGGGCCGCGGGGTGCTGGCAGCCAGAAGCCCAGGTGGCCGCTCTCCTCGCCCCCCTCGCCATCCAGCCGTCCGCGCAGACAGAATGCCACCGCGCCTCGCCGCCCAGGATGCGCGCTCCCAGGCCGGGCAGGGTGGCTCCCCAGCCACACGCCCAGCTCTCCCCTCCTACCCGGGCGCGCGCGGGCCGGGACGGGCCCTCCTTTCTCCAGGCCTCTGGGCTCCCCTCCCCCGCACCCCCAATCCCGGCCTCGGCAGTGGAAACCGAGGGGAGCTGGGGCTGTTTGCCGGGCCCTCGGGATGAGCAGCCCCCGCCCGATGTCGCTCGCGCTGGGAAGCGGAGGCTGGAGGGCATCGGGGTCCCCCGGAGCTCGGGAGGAGCTGCGCCCCCAGCGGCCCGCCGCCCTCGCGCGCCGCCGGGTTTCCCGCTCTCTGCTCGGGCCCAGCCCCCCAGCTTCCCACGCCACCCACTCCGCGCCTCGCCGCGCCGCGCCCCCGGCTGGACTCCAATGTCAGAGTGACCCTGGGAGCCGCTCGCTCCGCGCGCTCGGCGAGGCCGGCGAGGTTTGTTCCCCAGCGCGCACCCCCTCCTCCCCTCCCGCGCGGCCCTGGCCACACTGGGGAGCTCCTGGGGTTGAACCAGGGTGTCGTGTGTGTCCCCCACGGCCTGGAGGGTTCAGGGAGGGAGAGTGGGGAGCCCAGGGCGGGGCAGAGGGCATCTGGCAAGAGTGTGGAAGGTGGCCTGCTCTCCTAGCGGCCACATACCCCGGCATGGCCTTCCTTCCCACCCGTGTCCAAACCTCTGGAACGCCAGGTGGTTCCATCAGACTTTTTAAAATATATTTTATTGATTTTTTTACAGAGAGGAAGGGAGAGGAATAAAGAGCTAGAAACGTCGATGAGAGAGAAACATTGATCAGCTGCTTCCTGCACACCCCTTACTGGGGATGCGCCCCCAACCAAGGTACATGCCCTTGATCGGAATAGAACCTGGGACCTTTCAGTCCGCAGACCGTGCTCTATCCACTGAGCCAAACCAGTTTCGGTTCCATCAGTCTTTAGGTTACGCTAAGACTGACAGCACCACGGACAAGGGAAGGGTGTCCTTTTATAACTAAGGAAAATCGGAGGTGGCAGCGAGGCCTCTGGGGAGAATTCTCTTACATTTCCTTGTTATTTCTCAAACGAAGCTATACATGCAACCACAGGTTTTGTGCTTATGTGTGAACAGTATTAATCTTAAAATGTTAAACATTGAAACATGCCACACATTTTGTGACCCCTTTTGCTCAGTTTCTTACTTTATCACTATTTCTGAGGTTTTATAAGTGGAAATACCTCCAGTCTCTCAGCCTGGGAGTAACAGAGTGGAGAGAGGGAAGGGACCATGGGACATTTGTCTTGTCCTTGTCCCTCTGGCATATGCTCACCAGTACCATGCTTCCGAAATTACCTCTTGTATCAATTTAAGGCAAATTAAGTTGCATTTTGGATAGAATATTGTCATTAGCTGGACTTCAAGAATACCCATGTAGCCTGGCTGGCCTGTCTCAGTGGTTAAGTGTCAACCTATGAACCAGAAGGTCACAGTTCAGGGTGCCCTGGTTTCAGGCTGGA